GGTGCACACACGAGGCCTGGTCTGGCCTGCTGCAGGTCAGCGTACAGCGGCCAGGTCTGCATGGGGCTGTATGCTCCAGTGCCTGCAACTGCCTGGCACAGAAAAGGTTCTCAACAAAAATGTATGGACAGAGGGGAGAGAGGGAGTGAAGGAAGAGAAGGGAAGGGAAGGAAGGAAGAAAGGAAGGGAGAGAGGGAGGGAGGAAAAGGGAAGATAAGAAATGAAAGGGAAGGAGGCCGGACATGGTGGCTCACACCTGTCCCATCTCCACTAAAAATACAAAAAATTAGCCAGGCATGGTGGTGGGCATCTGTAATGCCAGCTACTTGGGAGGCTGAGGCAGGAGAATCGCTTGAACCTGGGAGGCGGAGATTGTAGGGAGGTGGAGATTGTAGTGAGCCAAGATTGTGCCACTGCAATCCAGCCTGGGTGACAAGTGTGAAACAACGTCTCAAAAAAAAAAAAAAAAAAAAAAAAAGAAAGGAAGGAAAGGAAGGAATGAAAAGACAAAAACAAAGGGGAGCATACAATCCTCACAACCCTTTCTGGCAACTATCCAGGCTGGATTCCCTGAGGCAGGACCCAGGCACCTGGAGAAACCAGGGACCAAGGAAGGAACTGAGTGAGGACTGGAGAAAGCCAAGGCAGCAGTGGACAGACACATGAGTGACAGCACTGGAAAGAATTGTGAGAATTAACCAAGGCCAGCCAGGTAACGGGGAATCACAGTGAGCATTCAAGGGATGAACGACTGCTGTCAGTAACGGGAGTTCAGGGTTTTCCTATTTTCCTCACTTCTTCCTCACATCCAAAGAAGGCTGCTTCGGATGAAGCAGGGCGCAAGTGTGGGGCACAGGCTTGCGGCTAGGGAGGGAGTGGGCACACTGGCCGGCTAAGGCAGGCGGGGGTGCTTTTTTGGTGGGCTGGTACAGGAGCCACTGAGGCAGGGTTAATGACAAGGAAGAAAGATTCAAAAGGGCTGAGGTGGGTCGGGCATGGTGGCTCATGCCTGTAATCCCAGCACTTTCAGAGGCAGAGGTGGGCGGATTACTTGAGGTCAGGAGTTCGAGACTAGCCTGGCCAACAAGGTGAAACCCTGTCTCTACAAAAACTACAAAAATTAGCTGGGCATGGTAGCGCACACCTGTAATCCCACCTACTCATGAGGCTGAGTCAGACTCCATCTCAA